CTTACCATTTTTCCACACTTTTTCCATGTCCTTTTTGCAATCATACTCTCCTTTAAGTTTGAATTTGCGCTCCCTTCTCTTCATTCTCATTTATAACACTACTCAAATCTCCTTCCACTCATTCACAGCCGTTTTACTCTCGAAAGAAGCCTCCATTGACACGATGTGTCACTAAATGCCACAGGAAAACTGAACCCCTCGTCAGCAATGAGTTACCAGGAGAGTCAATAAGCAAATAGACAGGACCAGCTGTAGAAACAAATCAAACTTAAAAGTTCTAGATATAAAAGGATAGTTTAAACAGTAATAATAAAATATGGCCTGGATACACCAAAGGTGGTTCTAGAATCTTCTCTAAAGGGAGCGTAAAGGACAGGCTGAAAATAGCTACCAAGAGCAGATACTTGAGCCTGGCTCAGCTAAGGATACTGTAGTGGTTCTCGTACCATCCCTTCCCAGCTCTGCTCGATTAAAGACTGGCTAATGACAGCTCGAGATACAGCTGTACGTGACAAAGCAGCGTAAGACAGGGAAGTCTTTTACTGAGCAACTTCGAGAGGAACCGAGCTAGGCCTCCTGGTACCCAATATTGTGTGTTGTATGTGGTACCAATACACACTGTGGACAAAATACCAGTTTCTGGTAAAATACAATGACCTTTGATTAAGTGGCAGTGTGTGTGCAGATGACCTAGGAACTGTTTGAGAAGTCCATAACATCTTTATTTTTAAACACACAGTTTAACCATGAGATATAATGGGCAACGTCTAACATGAAAACAGATATTCATGCCAACCAAGACAAGTAATCTTTATTTTTTAAGGCAAGTGATCTATCTGCGTAGCCTGTGTCTGAAGCCCTGTGAGTTAGTCCCCCACTTACTCTCTTGTACAGCTCTTACTCTGCACTGCTTACTCTAGTTAGGAAGTTCTGTCAAACCTAGGGCAGAGGCCAAGAGAAGGAAGCGACTGCTGTTTAACACCAAACATCTCTGCACTGGACTCCTCAAGGCCTGCAAAATTACAGACAAACGCAGAGATGTTAATCAAGCAGAACGGTAATCAAGTTATAAAGGAAAGGGAAAAAAAAGGCAGCCAGCTCTCAGTGAGTCACTTTGGGAAAGCCAGATAAGCAGGATCTCTGAGCCAGCAGTCAGATGTTCCCGAGATCAAGCCCATCAGTGTGACAACATGCCTGAGAGACACGGTATCACAAATGATACAAATGACACTAGATAGCGTCTATCAGAGTTAACAGAACTACCAGTTTTATCCTAAATACGTTACAAGTATTTGACCAAAAATAACACGAAAGTCTACTTCACACTACTCCTAAGCACAACTCCTGCCCTGCTTCTCCTTTCACATCAGACAGCCGGATGCTGCTTATCTTTAAGGCACCTTGAAGACATTAAATAAATACGAGAAACAGGATCCCAGCCCCAGGCACAAGGTATGAACTTAAACAGGCACACCTTGTCTCATCAGTCAGCACTCCTGAAACTCAGAGCACATAAAGTTGACCACACGAAATGAAGACTAACAACCAATGATGAACTGAGGACCATCATTCCAGGGTATTCAAATATAAGGCCTTACAGCATAAGCACATACAGATGAATATCCTCAGGATAGCCCATTTGCACCCACCACCCCTCTTGTTAAGCCATCCAAAATGCTTTTGATATGCTTTTGATGCATCTTACAAGGCACCTTCATAAATAAGCCAGACAACTGCGATCTAGAAGGAACTACTATAAAGTAGCAATGCAAAACCATAATCAAAGGAGGAGTTAGTGGTTCACAGCTAAACTGGTAAGCCAAGCACTTCTGAGACACAATTAGAATTCAAAGGGATATTGAAAAATAAAGAAATGCTTGAAGGGAGGCAGCACACACACACAAGAAAACATTTAACCCAGTGGGGATTAGTAGGTAAAATTTGCTTCACAAGTACAAAACCAGGAAAGCTGTACAGCCAGAAGAAGATCTTTTCTACAGAAAAGATCAAGTTTTAGAGGATCATAACCCGAGTGCTTAGTGCGTGGTGCTTTCAGAGCTATGACACAATGGGAGGGCTGATCGTAATCTCCAAACTTTTCTTCGGAGGCACTCACACTCAGGTGCTTAGTATCTCAGCTCTAAAAGACAGTTTATTTTGCAATACGACTTACACAGCTTATATTCATAGGCTTGTCTTTACTCATCCACTGTTAATCAAGTATTTAATTGTCTGATGGTTTGGGTTTTGGTTTTTTTAAGACGTTACGCACCTTTTCCACTGCTTGCATGAATAACCTTCCTAGATGTACACTTAAGATACAAACTACACTGTCAGACTGCTTAGAATATTTCACAAGACGGGATTTTTTTCTCTGATGACTAATTTAAAACAGTAAATCTCTTGACTCCTACAAGTTTAAAAGCACAGCTTGAGGTGGTCAGGACTGTGGCCTTGTTGACTTGAGTTTTGCCTTCAAATTTGACCTCTGCCTGTCCCAGAGCTAAGCTTTGGAAGGCTGTATCAGCCTTAGCAGTTTTGTCAGAACACATTCCCTGACAAATAGACATTCTTTTTCTCGTTATACCTACGTCAACTCTCCAGTTACTGTGTATGCACTAGAAATGCTAAAAGATCATTCAGAGCACATGTGACCGTTAATATATATGTCTAAGCTGTACTCCTACTCCCAAGTTAAGAGAAGGCAAATTCTATCCACTGTGATAGATAATATTTTAAAAGGAGTTTCCATGGAAAAGGATGGAGGGGAAGAAATCACTGAAAACAACTGCCAGTTACATAGCAAAACAAAAATCCCAAACCGTCAAACAGTCCAATCGTTCTTTGCTAAATCACTTGAGTGAACCCAATGTTTGACACTCACAAAACAGCAAACAAATACCTAACCGAAAAAGTTCTGGTGCAATGGGGTTTTGGAGACACTTTTGCCAGTTTACAGGAAAGGCTTCATTGCTTTTGTAGAGTTACTTACTGTGTAAGTCTAGAACTATCCTGGATTTTTCTTGAGTTCAATCATTTAGCTGGGAGCCTGCAGATCAGACTGAACTTTAACCGTGTCAAACCATGAGGCTCTCCTTTCTGGAAGCACATCAAGGTTCTTGCATGAAATCTGATCATCAGCACAGTAGGATTAATGACAGAGGTGGTTAGGCTGATAACCAGCAGAACAGAAACCACTTAAATGAGCATGGAGCTGCATCGAAGATAAGGTTGTAATGCATTCTCACCCCTTTGTGCCAAAATTGAAGCGAGACCTTGCTTGAAACCAACGGGAAAGAAAAGGCTTTCTCACTCTTTGTGTCCCTGCAGGAGGTCTGTGGTTGTTTCTAGGAAAACAGACACAAGATACCCAGACTGCTACCACTGCTCTCAGAGTAATGCCGCTGACTGCAGGCTGACACCGTGTGATGTCTCCCTCAGCGTACCGAAAGGGGAATGGCAGGAGAAGGTTTTTAGGAGTTACGAGACTTACTGATGCACAGAAAGGTGACCTGGCCCAGGAACATTGTCCCTGCTCACTGCAGGGCTGGACTGGGTGATCCTTAAAGGTCCCTCCCAACCCACCACATTCTGTGATTCTATGATATCAGGGATTTCTCTCAATCAACACAAGTTCTCAAACAGCTCTTTACCTCTGTACGCCACTACCTGACGAAATCAAGTGCTCTCTGAAAATAAAATAAGGAATCAATTGCTACAAGTGTTAGAAACTCACCTTTACTTCGAGCTACCTCTTTCCTCCACCTGCTTTTGTTTCCTACCGATTGTCAGTGTATTTCTCTGCTAGATATGCAAGCACCTTGCCTCAGGGCACTTCTCTGTGGTGTTTCTCACCAATGCATGGTACAATATCATAGCTATTTCACCCAGTAAATCTGTTCACAAAGTATGTAGCTATTTGGCTACCAAACTTCTTGAGGTCCCAACATAAATATGATTAGCAATACCACTACAGCACTTAACCTAAGCACTGGAAAATCCAAGTATTAGAGGGTTAAATTCTGAATTTACAGAATAGGAATAAAGCTGTACAAGATGTTTTTTAGTTTAACTTCTTAAAGAGAAGACCACATGAAGTGTCATGAATGGACATAATATATTGTGAGATAAAGTTTTCTGGCATTTCACTGAAATGGAAATAATTTGGAACGTGACTTCGTTTAGAGTCAGGAACTAGGACAAGGAAACAAATTATTTTTGCAATGCCTGAAAGCCTGGAAGTCAACTCAATGTCCTATTCGTCTAGGGTAAACCTTACCAGAACAGTCAGAACAGCAGAATATCACCAGCACTATGAAACTGGGATGGCCCGTATGGTTTCACAAATTGCTCCGCACAGACTTCATCCACTTCCCAGATTCACAGCAGCAGGTCACTGACAACAGCAGATTTTCTCATTCCTACTCTTTACTTCAAACTAATCTGATTACTTGAGTTAGAGGCATGGCATAACAAGCAGCAAAGGAAATAGAGAAGAGCAGCTAATTGCATTGCAATTTCAGTGCAGTAAATTCCCTGGTTTCAAGCTCAGTAATCGTGTGTAGCTCTCCAAATACATACACATCTAGTGCTGGGAGGCAAAGACTACCAAAGGAATGAGTACAATCCCACAAAACTAATAAACTAGCTAAATGAAAGACACTCACACTTACATATGAGAGAACCTATAGCCATCAGTCTTTAATGTGCCACATGAACGCAAAAATACATGGCAAAGACCAAAAGACAAACCAATTGTTTTTTAGCTTTTACTGTTTCTACCAAAAAGCCTCTGCAACTCCCCAGATAAATTACAAGTGATAAAAATTGAGCTGGAAGAGTGACAGAGGAAGTATTTGAGACCTGCGAGTTCTTCATCACTCACTCACCCCAAGTAAAGCACCTACAAGAACCAGCAGCTGACTTCAGTGACAAGTGTTTCTGCCGAGACTCACGTACATTCTCAGCACCAAACGTGAAACAACCAATTAAACACGCACCTTGAACACCTCCGAGAAGAAACCAGAGCCGATTTTCTCACGTGTGAAGTCATCTAGACGGGTAAGTCTGGAAAAGGCACTTATCAGGGCTCTGTACGAAGAGGTGCAAACTCTTCCTATCTGGGTTGCAGTCCCTTCTCCTCCAGCACCAGCATCGAAGTCTTCAGCGCGCTCCAAGCGTGGTGGAAATCCTGCTATTGAATTCCGCTTACTTCGGTCCATTTTGAAAAGAAGGGTTTGTTCTGCTAAGGGAGGATTTCTCACATCTTAGGTGATTTGCTGTCTTCTCTACTCTTGTTGGATCCTAAAACACAAGAAATTGAGGTTACCATTATTGCAAACGTGTCCAGTAAGTTTGATAGGACTTCAGCACAGCTTATACCAGTTTAAGGGAATAGAAAAACAAACAAAAAAAACCCACAAAGGAAAAAACCAACCAAACAATAAAAGCACAAAAAGAAAAAACCTCCCCCCCACAACCAACCACACAGCAGCATCAGTCAAGGCAGACAAGCTAATGAACTTTTCCTCTAGACTCATGGAAACACCCAATGCTCTGGCTATTAGGAGATGAATAGGTCTGGGACTCAAAATACAACTGGCAACAAACAACTTTCATTCCTTCCTCCCCCCCTTTCTTTTTTACTTAAGCTCTGGTTGCTAAAGCAAGCAACTAAGCAGGAGGAAACCCACAAAATGTAACGTTTTATTCTACTTCAGCAGCAGTTGGTGACCAACCTACTACTATTGCAAGAAAGCATTTCACATCAGGCACTGAACAAAGGATCCCTAACTATAAAAGATCAACTGTCAGTTGACATAAGGAAAATTATTAGCTGACAATAACAGTAGCTGCAGCACAAAACCTTTGCTTTTAAAGCTTCCTCCTGTGAGTGTTCCAAGACCAATTCCTTAACTGGTGGGAACACAACTCCATATCCACTAAAGATCTAGCCCCGCATTTAAGAAAACATCAACAGTCCTGCTACAAAAACAAAGTATTCTTACAAGAACCGTCCAGAGCAGCTCTCTCCACAAACACACTTTTTAAAGCTATATTAATTTCAGTTCAACTGAAAACACAGGAAACAAGCTACATTTGCCAAGTAGGAGAAAAGAAAAAAATAAAGGAAAAAAACAAGAGTAAGACTTTTCTTTTCTTTTTAAGAGGATGATGAAGTAATCGGGATGACTCTGGAGCCCATCAAATTCAGCTCAGATTGGCAAACTTGACAGGTGGCCTACTTTTTTTTATATAAACCTTAGACTTGGAAGGTTATGCATCTTTTCCACACTTAACTGTTCACCTACAGTTTGGTGAGCTCCTACAAAACCTGCACAAAGTGAGCAGTCACAAAAAGGACACATTTCTCTTTCTCTTTTTATTTCCCTCCCCCGAGGGTGAACGAAAAACTGGAGGGAAGGGAAGGAAACAATAAAATTCCACAAAAAGAAATAATGGTGGACAAAATAATCACGAAGCAGGGAGCAGGCCAGGCAATCAAACTTCTATTTACACAGATGTACAGAACCTGAACAATACACTAAATTTCAAGAGCATCGCTAAACCAGAGGCACACCAGCTGTCCTCTGAATATACGGCAGTGCTGCTACACACTGCATACAAAACACGGGTATCTTTCAGAGGTGCTCTGTGCCAACGCACCAGGAAAACACGCAGTGCTTCCCTGCCTTCAGAACTGAACTCTGTGGAGCCATGGAATTCATTTGATGTTGCCCTCTCCAAAAAAAAGGGAAAGAAAAGCCCTCTGTTTTTCAAGGATGTTTATTTCAAACATCTTAATGCTTACCTCTCCAAATGTGAGTCAGTGGGTATAGGAGAGTCTTACCAGTGCCCAATGAAGAAAATTTAATCTCTATCAAACCCTATTCCTACAGAATTTTCTATGCAGACTCCTACACACGAGTTCACTGCACTTTCCAGATGATAGTACTACACAGCCTAATGTTATGGTGTGGACAACTGCCACACAGAAGATCAGGATCCAATTTCTGACCTCATATTCTTGCCCCATGAGCCCTGAGGGTCTGGAAATGGTACAGAAGCACCACGGGAAGATAAAGCCTGTTATATCTCCACAGCTGAGGAAAATAGCTGAGAGAAGCTCCTCAGCTATAGAGGAGATGCCCAGGAATTTCCAAGGCATGCTTAAATAATTCCTTTTGATCTGAAAGGGATGATCTATCATTTGGTTACTTCTCAAGGAGATAAAGAAAGACTTGTCTATGGAAGCAGGGTAGACAGGAAGCCATGGTGTTAACAATTCATCTTCTGGAACAGGAGATGCAAGGATCTTTGGAGACCGACCAGAAAACCCGCTGTAACCGAAGAAGCAATATTTTAGAACTTATTTGCATCAGACCAGTACCCACAGCACTAGACACTTTGCAAGGAAGAGAGCAAGCACTTGCCCCAGAAACGTACGGTTTGACACTCCAGTATCACAGTAACAGCGCATGAAGTGGACCCTGGGGCTTGCAGACACCCCTGCTAAATCCAGTGAAACACCACATCCACACCACGGCCCCACAGACTAAGGCAACTTGTGAACCAGGATGTATGCATAAACAAAACAGAGGAGATTGCTGTTGTCTTAACTAGAGGAAAATACCAAGTTAGGTAAGCAATCATAAGCAGGAAGAAAGGCCTAACTCTGTTCTAAGTATCCAGATACAATTAACAAAAATCAGCTCTCAACAGTCTCTCAATCTACCTAACAACAGTAAAACACCCCGCACCACCCTCGCACATACACATTCTTCTGATTGAAATCACATGGTGAACTTTGCAGAACTCTACACAAATCCCACAATGAAAGAAGAGATTCAGAGTACTTCACACAACATAAACCCCAAAAGCTTTTGCCATCTGGATTCCCAAGTAACCCATTCCTTCGGTTTTGCCTGCTGGAGTTTGCCTTCTTTCCAGACAGCTACATGAAATCCTCGGAAATTATTAGCATAGAGCTCAATTTGTCTAGTTTTTCTGCCCAGGATTGCATACACAAAATTAGAGGAAAATTTCAAGCGGGCACAACTCCATGTGGGCCTCCTGTCATTTTGGCCAATTACACTAATGATCACATTCGCAATGAAATCAACCGAGGTTTAATTGACTGTCAAGTCAGTCTGAGGTACTTTAATTTACTGCCTTGTATGGTTAATTAAAGTGCACTGAACAGAACCCAAGACTATCCTGCAAATCCCGCAACCAACTAAGAGGCTGTTGGGTGGCTTTTTTCATGTTAAAGTTCAGCTTAAACACTTGAAAGCTGTGCTCAGTCAGTTCAGAAAAGACACTAAACACTCCAAAAAACATTTCCCGATAAATTCTCAGTGTTCAGACCAATTTTCTGACATCTTTACCCAAGAAAAAAGCGCCCCACTCTGCCAAGATGAAAAGTAAATTAGAAATGCACCCCTCAAAATGCGTACCTGCCTTACATTACTGAAATTTCAGAATGTTTCGTGCCCCGCCACATTTTGACTTCTTGGTTTAAAAAAACCCAAAACTTGATTAAAAAAACCCCCATGATAATATTACATTAATATCCGTTTCTCCACTGCATGGATGCACTGATTTTTTAATTGTAGAAATTACTATAAATACAAACACCATCAGTTCTTTGATTGATTAAAGTGGTTTGGCTCTCAAAACCAACGTCTAAGCCTGCAAATATTTAAAGATGGAAATCTCGCCATAGCACATCAAGTTATGCCCCACGCATCAGTGGAAAACTAACAGGTGACATATATTAGCCAGTACTTAACATTTTATACTTCACAGACATCCAAATGGGTTCTCAGCTTCAGCAGCATTTCTTTAATGCCTCAGGGTATAAAACAAGATCCTTCCAAAAACCATTTCAGTTAATAACTAAGACTTTCTGTCCCCGGTATCTTCATAATACGTGCATATTTACACTCCAATGTCAAACTCACAGTTTCATAAAAGATGGCCTTAACAACAACCATTTTTAGACACGGAGGACTGTCGCTAGGCATTCCGCCTGGAAAGCAATAAATCTGGTGGATGCATGTTATTAATTTGAAAAGGTTTTCTGAAGAGCAAGATGCCAAAGCTTTGACATAAGTCATTTGCCAAGAGTTAACTATTTACACTCGCAGTCTGACGCGGCCTCAAAACCCAGCGCTACAAAAACATGAAGGAATTGTGCTGGCAAGTGTCACTCAACAAAATAATAACTTCGGGGGGAAAAAGGAACGACTGCAGTAATGCACAAATTTCAGAAAAGCTTCAAAGGAATGTAAAGAACAAAATCTTCCACAGACTGAATTGACTTTGGGGTCATTAGCCTGGAGGAAAAAAAAAAGAAAAAAGTTTGGGACTGAAAGGCAAGAAATCAAACTAAACAGGTAAAGAGAACCAGGCACTGCACAGTTTTGTTCTCAGCTGCTGTCGTCTGCTTTCCTAACAGAGGAAAGTTCCTTGGTTTGTCCATAAATTAGTTTCTCGTCTTTGGGGAAAGATAATATCAAATATTTACAGACAAGGCAGCTACAAGTACCAGAGCTTGCACGATGTTTGGCCCAGCTCATCCTGAAGCTGAAGTCTCTTTGACTACTTTTACAGTATGAAGTCTTAGGGTCCAATTTAAAGTCTTAACTATGACACTACAGTTAACGTTAAAATCCCAACGTTTTGTGTTTCCTTTCAGGTAATATTTTGCTTTAATTTCAGCTCCCCTGTAGGGGGATAACTCCTGGCTCTAGCTAGAACAGCCATAGCATAAGCTTCCCATAACTAGGGCTGACATTCCTCAAAGAGACCTGCATTAGCCCTGCTGCACCACTCCAGAAACTGCAAGTCTGCTAAACTGCACGGTGGTTTTATAATGCAAACAAACCTCCATAAGAGGCTAAGCTGAAACAAACAGCTCATTTATTTTGTGACTGCAGCCAAGTCTGAAACCAGTAGAAGAGACCAGCCATTAACTTACTGCAGAGCTCAGGGTTCAGGGCCAAGGTTGTAGTTTAAAAAATATTTATATCAAGCATAGGCATAAATCCTGGTGTACATTTAAAAGGCAAATATCACTGGGGGGGGAAATTAAAAACCCACAAACAAACACAAAATCACTTGATACTTATGCCCATAGCACACTTGCCAACAGTTTCTAGGGTCCAATTATAACACAAAAGCTAAACCTCTACAGAAGGACCTCGCAAAACTCCATGTG